AGCCACTGGTGCAATCTCTGTCCTCAAGTCATCTTTCAACTGATGTTGGGAGTGAAATATTGGATAAAAGGACCATGCCACAAGTCAAAACACGCATGTATAAAACTAAATGCATAAGTTCATTAGAGTGGGTCTCTTATGGTCTCTCAACTTCAATGTTCTCATAGGAAAAGTGAAATACCCAATCAGTATTGCACATCTCTGTGTGATGCCGAGGATCTAGGATATTGTGTTTTCTGCTTGACAAAACTGTAATTTAAATTTTCAGAATCCTAAGTAGGTATAATAGGACCAAATGAGCTTACCAAAGAGGAAATGAGAATTCATGCTAAAAATAGCAGAATCTGCCCTGTTGTTTGGTAGCTTGTCTTTTTCATCTGTTTTCAAAAGCCTAGCACCTATTTAAAGCACATCCAAAAACAATCTTTCCCAAGCCTCAAAACCTCCAAACATGAAAAAAGTAAATTGGTTCCTACAGGTGTGACTTTAGTCACTGACATTCTGTGCAGGTCATGGTGATCCTGAGCTTCAAGTGGATGACTCAGGGGCTCTTGTTAACCTAGCATGATGACCCCATGTAGGTAGGAGGCTTTTTCATACAATGAGAAAACATTGATAAACATAATATTATATTAATATAATATATAATTATATTAATATATAATATAATATATTATATGTTAATATATAATATATTATATGTGCTCAAATAATATTGTCAAGAGAGCTCTTTACTTTGCAGTCAGCAGACCCAAGGTTAAATTCTCTGTGTACTACATGTGATCTCCCTGAGCTTCAAACCTCAACCTATGTATTAGATAACAGATATTTGATACCATTTTCGGAGATAACATATATGGAACAGTTCCAACACTGTAGACACTCAAAGAACGTGACTTGTATTCATTTGTTACACAGTTGCTTTAACAGAAGAGGAACCAATGGGTCATGACTAACACTGAAGCTTTTCATTTAGTGAGAAAGATGGGAGGCAACCTGAACCTCAGCTATCTGGATCCCACGGGGGAAGGGAACATGCTCCAGCTAAGAAAACACAAGAAAGAAAGGCAGATAGGAAGGGAGTAAACAGTATCTTAGAAGATAGAAAAGGAGGCAAGCCTCATCTAAGTCAGGTTTCATTAGGAGCAGAGGAAGGGGAAGCTGTGTCTGGTCATATGCCAGGCATTTTCTATTTATCTCATTTCTAGCTCACAGTGATCCAAAGAGGTAAAGTATCATGAGCTCTATTTTATAGAGTTGGAAAAATGAAGCTGAGAGGCTAAAAGAATTAACCAAGTTTGAGTCCATGTAACCTGTACATGACATGGACTTTAAAAGTCAATCTGCCCTGATGTTTTACACTCTCTGTTATCCTCACTCTCCCAATAACATTCTCATTGCACAACATTCCCCACTCCTGATTCTGATCAGAGTTTGAAGGGGTGCTACAGTGTGATTTATTATAGCTCCACCTCTGAGGATGTTATGGAATAAAGCTGTCATGACTGTCCCAGGAGTATGATTGCTTGGGTCAAAGTTCTTCTACCTCAGCTTTCTGCACTCTTTAGCAAAAGGTAAATATTTATAATTGAGAAGATGCTGCCTAATTATCCATGACTTAGTCACAAAATTTCCTTAAATTTGTAAGCAAATCCCACACATCCCCCCTACGCACACCATTAATTTTGTTACAACCAGTATGACTCCATTTTAAAGAATGTAATTCACTTGATAATGAGCTTGCCTTATAAAATTTTGAACTGTGCAGAAAACATTTCCTTACTTTACAGAGATAGGTCAGAAAAGTCAGACCATAATGCATAATGAAAACTGTATTTAAATGTTTAGCAAAGTTGAAAATGTGGGCATATGCTTAGTTTCTCAATAACAGGTTGATTTTCTTAGAAGCAAACCTTGAAGTGAAGTCTCCTTGACCTTAAAGCTTCTTCCTTCTGCTTTCTGCAAGTCTGACCCTGAGAGCTGTAACCTGATGGTCAATGACATTATTTTTAGTCAAGGAAACCGCCTTTCAGTCACAAGGAGTTCTTTTGTATTACAGCTTTACAGAAAATGCATGTGCATATGAAGGCTGAAGAATGTACTTAAATAAAGGTCACACTATTTTCAAAGTCAAGAGTGTACTATTCCAGTATATACATTTTGAACTTTGCTAAGTTTCTTTTCTGGATATGCAGAACCAATTCCAAAGTCAACTTAGAAAACTTCAGTATCAAAATCAAAGAAAAACAGGTATGGCTCTTATAGGTTCTTTCAAGAGCCTGTTTTGTTCGAATGGTAAGCACAACTTCTGAGAGATCCCTAGAAGCTGAATATGTCATTAGCTCTTGAGGGGAACACAAAGATTAACATGAAAATCAGTCCTGCCCTTGGTCAAGCTCCTAGTGTGACCCTAAGGAAACAGAAGACAGCATCTGCATAGTTAATCAGTATCAGTGTGTGAGGGTTGTCTGGGTTTGCCTTCCAAGTCCATCATTTCCATCTGCCAACTCTTCCTTTATTCTGACTTGTGAGAACAATCATGGTTGCTAGGAGGCGCCCCTGGGATTGTTCACAGTGGTGAGTAGGTAGGAATGGGATTGTGTGGGCGGGCGGGGCTATGCGTGGAAAAAAACTCAAGGCTATAAAGCAATTCCACAAGGAAATGTGGAAGATACAGAAGGGCGAGGCAGTGGAGAAAAATAGACAAGGAAAGACTTAAAAAAAAGTCAGCACTGAGAGATACTCTAATCTACTTTGTGAAGTCAAGATTGCAAGCAAAAATAAAAATTCATTTAATAGTTTTGTAATATCTCTCTTGGTTGTTGCATTATCTTCATAATCACATTTTCTCCCAAATAAAGAACCATGTGAGTTCTAGCCCTTCCTGAGTTACCCAGAAATGTGGCTAAGAAATCTGATAACTTGTGGCAAAGTATCGTAAGAATGTAGGCACTGGATACTTTTTGGTATGCATTATTTGAAGAATGACACTGAACCAAGTAAAAGAGATGTGGTTGGTTCGTAGACCACATTTGGGATCTGTTCTGAATTCTGGGTAGACAGACTTTTCCTTTGGAGGGAGAAGTGTGATGTAACTTGGGAAAAATAGATGCTAACAGTATGTGACAGTCATGGTCAGAGGCCACAGTAAGTAGGAGGGTGAGGGAACTTCCGGGAGCATAGGGGACTGAGGAGGCAGGTTCAACAGCAAATCCATGTCAGAAAGCATCAGTTTGGATGGGCAGATGCAACCTGGAGCCTAAGGACCACAAGGTGTACTCATATCAGCAGCTGTTAGAGACAGTGCTACTGGGCATGGAAAGCAGGTGGGCTTTTAAGCAAATCTACATCTTGTCTGTGTCAGATTTCTAAGTAATTGAATGTGTACATTTTGAGATTGGAGTTTGTAGTTTTGAGCACATGGGCTTCAGATTGCAAAGAGGAAACACAATCAGAAAAATATAGAAAGAAGAATTTTGTTCACTGACAGACAAATGAGCTGGCCTGCAGACATGGACACAACTAAAGCAATATATCAGGAACATTTCAGTAATTTTAAAAGAGTATTTTAAGTATGAATATATACTTCAGAAAGGGGCACTGAAAATCAACATTGGAAATGACAAATTTGTTCAATCCCTTAATTTTACATTACGTTTTAATAGTGATTTTGTAAGAATATCTATGGAAAACATGTAACAGTGTGCTCTGTTAATGGATTAGATTTTTCTAAGTGTTTTTTATAGAAAATTCATGATAATTTATTTCTCTAAGAACAATGAATCCCTTGCAAAGAATAACACAAGGAAACTGCAGGCAATACTGACAACTAAAACCATGTACTTAAACATTTTTATTCCATAAGAGAAATTCTATAGCAAATGCTATATATCAAACTTTAAAAACACTATTAAACAGGATGATAAATAACTGACCTTGTTAATTACAAAGAACTCATATAAAGAGATAGGAAAATAAAAGACAAATAGCCTAAGAGGAAAATATGAAACCTTGTGGTCAAGGTATTTACAGACGGTTGAATTTTTAGTCACCTTGCAGAAAGAGCCTGCTGCTGAATGTCAGGCCAGGAAGGGCAGGAAGGAGGGGCTGTAACTAGCCAGGAATGTCTTCCTTCTGTGACTGACAGGCTGTATAGTGTCCGGCAAATCCATGGCCCCAACATTTCTTTTTATCCCATTTCCAGTGCTACAGAAATCTGCCACATTGCCTATCTCTCTAATCAGGTACAGATGATCTGAACTCTGGGACTCAAACAAGTACTCTCTGATGCATCTTTCTACACTGTACCATTGTATGGATCCCTTCACCGTGTGGTGTGCATTGGCTTGCAGCAGCGTTTTGACAGTTGTGAACTGAATCACCAGTGGCTTGCCTGGTGGCTCTTTGTTTTTTTTTGTTTGTTTGTTTTTTTTTTTGTTTTTTTTTTTTGTTTTTTTTTACAGTAAATATTTAATTTTGGTTCCATCAACTATCCCAGTACCTTCTCCTGGTATGGTAGCAAAACCATGCTAAGCAGGGGCTCATGAGGTATGGGGGTCATTGAAGAGACCCCAGAATCACTGAACCCACTTCACAGACCTAGTGGTTCTGCAAAATGAGGGTTTGGCTGACAGAATGTCAAGTTGGGAAGGAATTCGAGATGGGACTGTAGGTCTCAGCCTGTACTTTTGCCTGTAAGAGGGAAGAAGAGCTGGAGCTTATTCAACTTTTAACCACATTGTGTAGGAAAACATGGATAAGCCTCTCCATCTGTCTAGGAGCAGGGTCCTCCCTTAAGATCCTCTGTCATCTCTGTTCTATCTTCCTAATTCTGTATTTCAAATTCTGAATCCTATGTGCCCACTTCTGAAGGGTTCCTGCTGCAAGCCTGTCTCATGTCCCCAAATCCTTCCCACTTCCAGCCTTTTCCCAGCCCTTTAAGTAGAATTCTGGATCTTCTCCTGACTTTGATGACTTCAGAGTTGATGGCAGTTCCAGGCTTTTTTTTTTCCTTAAAGGCTCAGGCTTGCTTTTTTAACAAGTAAACACCAGAGAGTTCCTGAGACCATACGTGGTCTGATATCCTTTCACACTATACTGCCTAACAGCTAGTCATGCTGGCTTTTATGCAACTAAGCCATGGCCACAGTGTGAGCTGGGAACTTGATGTTCTGGAGATGATGAATCTTAAGAGAAAAATGCATGAATGCTTAAAAGGTTGCTATTCTGCAGTTAGGGAAATTAAAAACTTCATCCAGCATGGGAGAGAGGTTGGCTGGGTATAGACAGATTAGGTTCTCAGAAAACGTCTTCTTTGTCTAAGCTGAACATCACTCATCAGAAGTCTTCCAGAGTTGTGAGAAAACTGTGCCAGCTGGCCTAGAAGCTCCTCTGTTCCAGGTTACTCCACAGGAGACAGGGAAGGAGGTGGAGGCAGTGCCAGCCTCACTGGAGAGGAGAAATCTTCAAAGGGATCATGATTCGTGACTCCATGTGTCGAACCAAGGGGACTGTGTAGTAGACATTTTCATCCCAGCCCCTTTTTCTCCAGGCTGCATTTCGAGTCTCCTCCCGAGACTGCAGATCTTTGTAGGCCCATAAGTGGTGGACCACATAGAGCTCTCCTATTTGTGAAAAGAAGCCTCCCACCGCCTCCTGGTTCTCCTGACGGTACTTGATGGCACGAGCCCAGTTGTTTCCCCATTCAATCATGGTTCCCGGCTTGAGCTTGTATGTCCTCAGCTCATAGATGTTGGGGCCAGCTCGAGGCTGTGGCTCATTCCAGAAGCTGAACTCCAGAAGCAACTTGTTTCTCCTTGACAGCAGCATCTTGCTCCGCTCCTTCCGGAACTCCAGGTACTCCTTGTTGGTTTTTAGCTTGTTCATGCAGTCCATGAGGGCCGGATAGCCACCTGAGAACCGCCATAGGTGTACTGCCTGGTCCTGCTCCCCGTACCACGTGTTCCAGTTGCCCACAAGTGAGCAGGGGTAGTCCTCATCCAGGTGCAGCTTGGGCAGTACAGCCTCCGTCAGACTGTTGTAGGTATCCAGACATTCGGGCTTCACGTTGTGAAACTGGATCTTGTAGAGATTACTAGTCTCCTTCTTAGACAGCAGAGTGGAGTGCGCGTCCTTCCGAGGATCCACCTTGTGAACAAAGAGGGAGCGGAACCAGCTGCCTTCACTGTCCTTGGAATAGGAGCGCACAGCACCCGCAGCCGCGAGGTCCCCAGCACGGGGTCCCGGCTTCATGAGCAGCCGCCGTGCCGCTGCAGAGATGATGCACAACCGCGGAGCCATGTTGGACCGGAGCAGGTTCGCCTGGTGGCTCTTTGAATGGCTCCCTAGTTATCAGAAGCATCCCTTCTGGATTTCTCTGTGTCACCAATGAATACTTTGTTTATCATGCCACACACCATAAAAGTTCATGTGGTATAATTTCTAAGAGAAATTGATGTATCTTTGTGTGTAGGCTTTCATCTGTGTAAATGCTGTGCCTGTGTGTGTGTGTATTTGGTTTTAGTAGTAGAACTAGCAAATTTTACACACTGGATGAGAGGTGTGATCCTCACCTGAAATCTGGCTCAATCTAACTATTATTATTTTGGCTATTTTTTTTTTTTAGTTTGAATTGGGCTCTAATACTTTCTTTGTTAGTTGTCTCAGTCAAACCATTATATATCATCACTTACAATGAACTTGGAAGGTTTAAAGTTATCAAAAGATCACAAGACCACAATTCTTTTTTTATATATAATTTATTTTTTCTCAAATCGTAATTCATTCACACAGGGGTTATAAACACAGAAAGGCAGGATGTGGGGAAGGGAATGACACTGGAGTGTGGGTGTTCAGGGGGAATATAGATATCTTCAGAACCGGGTATCGGCTGGGTGAAGGTTCAGGGGACAATTCACTATGACTCTGCCTATGACTCGCTTGTCCTTATCTAAGTTGGTGTTGTCTGCCCAGGATACCTATTTACAAGGTCTATGACTACTCAGGCTTGTAAGTTTCCACAAAAGCTGCCTGACTACATTAGCTTATAGCCATCTGTTTCAATGTTTTTCCACTGAGACCCAAGACTTGGTGTTAGTATACATGTATGACAGGCCTATTGCTGATTTTAGGCCTATGGCTGATTTTAGGCCTTCAGTGGGTAAGCAGGGCTGCCCCTGACATCTCCTCCCTTCTCTAAGTACAGAAGGGCTGTGGCAATTCTAAATTTGCGAAGGCAGGGATACAGGCCTGACGTCCAGTACTTGAAGGGGACCTAGTAATGGCTCTAGTCCCCCTGTCGTTGTCCAGTGAGGCATGAGGGCCATACCCATTCCGATGTCTTTTTCCTGGAGAGGGGATACTTTTGACATCAACCCCTATGCAGTCAGGATTGTCCCTCAGGGAACTCAGATAGATATTTTTATCTTTTATTTATATTCCCTTGCAGTGCTTAGCCTCGCAGCCTAAGCAAGAATTCAGATCGCCTGACAGAGGGGGTTCTGGGTGGCCCCTCTCTGCTTGGTCTAGGGGCAGAAATCCCCCCTTTTAGGTTGGGTGGAGATGAGTTTTGGAAACACCCTGCATAAAGTAACAACCTCATCTTGAGTCTCGTGGTCCTCCATAGCTAACTTATGATAATGTATCTGAGTAGGTTTTGCTACCAAATTATTTATCTGTTGTATCACAGAGTCCACCTATTTGAGAGCCAGGAACCAGCAGAAAAAAGCAAAAAGAACCCAAATGATGTTCCCAAGATGGGAGGAAATAGGGTTGACAACCTTGGAGAGGCTGAAAACCTATTCTTGTACCAGCATTCATCTGTCTCTTTCTCTCTTTGATTTTTCTTAGGGCCTTCACTACCTGTTTCATGCTCTCTTTAACCCTCCTTGTCTTGTCTATGTAAAGGCAACCTCCTTCTTTAAGAGCTGTACACAGTCAAGAGCTGTACACAGCCTTTTCTATTGTAATAGAGTAAATCAAGTCCAATAAGGATCTTTGCGATTTTAGGAGGTCTCTTCAGACAGCGAAACGAGGGATTTCTTCAGATTAGTGATGTCAATCTCTAGCTGTTTAATGTTCTTGTCAGTGGCCCTTCAAAGGTCTGAGTAGTGTAAGTTCAGAGGCCACCATCTGGGTTAGAACTTCTAACAGCAGACATCACGGGTGATTCATTTTTACCTGGGATGCTGCCTGAGTTAAAGCTCCTGGGAGTCTCTCTTTCTCTCGGTTTTCTGGGGTTGGGTACAGAGCTCTGTGACCTGCTCTATGCTTGGGCCCAGACCGGAAGTCAAAAGATCATAATTCAATGAAAGGATATGTCAAAGGTTTGTTTCACACAAAGCCACCTGCACAGCGATCTGCTTCGCTGCCCTGTGTGGACACTCTCAATCTCCATGTCTCTCTTCTCATCTACATACAAGATGAAAGAGCACTTTCAGCCTCTCTGGACCCCTGTATCTCTGACATGTGCAGCACGCTCTTACCACATACAGTTCGTAGTGATGACTGAATTCACAAGAAGCAGAGGGAAGAATGGGAGAGAAGACAACTTTTCTTTGGTTTATAATGTGGATAATCTTTGAAGAATTTCTCAAATCATTTCACAAGCTGTATCATCTTGCCCTTTTTTTTAAATCTCTTTTGGCACTGGAGTATCTATAGAAAATATCATTTGTTCTTTCTTAACATTCAAATATCTATTTAAAGGAAATCACCACACCTGCCTGGCTTTGGGCTCACTGTATAACCCATGGTGACGTGAAATTGCTTCATGTGTCCAGCTCCCAAGCTCTGGGATTACAGGGGTGCATGCATCTCCTTGCCAGTTCTAAAAAAAATGCTGGACATTAAACCCAGGGCATTTTTCATGCTAGGCAATCATTCTAGTGCTGAGCCACATACTAGGCCCTCTAATGTACAATTTAAGGATGAGAAAACCTAGGCTTAGAATTACTTAGTTCCTTCCCCAAAGAAACTCTGTTCTGATCAATTTAGCCATGTAATGATGACTCTGAGGGCTCAGCCTCCTTATTACATGACACTGGCTTCACTGCCCTCCAAGGACTTTTCTTAGGACACAGTTATCATACTTGGTACAAACCCACAAACCAGCTGTAATAAACAATGCCTGAATAAAGCATGATGTAATAGTAATCATTAATACTGAACCAACACCTAATTTGTGCCAGGAATTCTTACAGGAGCTTCCCAGTTTCCCTTACCAATCACATGACCTCCACAGTAATTTAATCTTTCTGTGCTTTTCTGTATCTTCCCAAAAACTACATAATTCCATCGGAATCCTATTCCAAGGGATATAAAGAGTTAATGCCAAGTCCACTGCTTGCAAACATAGCACAGTCCCCATAGCCCACACACCAGGGCCAATCATCTTTAGGCCTCTTGCTGCTGCTGTCTCTCCTATCAAACTATTCTAGTGTTTGTAAAAAAATAAATAAATAAAGTGTTCCAGATAAAACAATGTGTGCTGTGATCCGAAGCACCCAATACAAGGCTATGTGCTGTAACCATGGAGATTGTTTTATATTTTGTCTTTAAGAGATATAGTTTTTAAAAGCCTTCCCGTGAGGTCTGTATCCTTGACTAGTGCCGACAGTAGCTCCCCTTTTGTCTGTCTAATGAAATGCTTCTATTACACATCACCCCCAGCCCCTTCCCTTCTAGGCCAAACTCTCATTGTTTCCAGATTCGCTTTTGTTTTTCTTTTTTAGCCTCCTTCTTGTTTGACTGCCATATTCTGAATTTCATCTCAATTTACATTGCTGCTTCAAAGACCTGTGAGTAAATCCTACTAACAGTTCTCACACATCCAAGGATCATTTCACATTTCTTAAGTTTCTGAAGGCATACACCTCCATCAGTGTTTTCTCACATTCCTCTCCAGCACCATCCAGAATGTTCTCTTAGTCTCCACGGCAGCATGTAGCTTCTCCCTTACCTCCCATGTGACTTTTCCTTTCTGTGCTTGAATCTCTGTCTTCAAGTGATGCACCCTTTTCCTTGAAGCTCTCCAGGACATCATCATGGTCCTTAAATGTAAATATCTTCCCAATATCAAGATAAAACATCAGATTCCGAGTGTTTTGGCAAAATCTACAGTCCTAGTGCTCAGAAACAGGACTTGTTGCCCCATAACAAGATTTGGGGCAGCCTGGGCTATTTAGGCAAACCCTGAGTTAAAAATAAAAATTCAAATAAATTGGCATAGTACTGGTGACTCCAACAACACTTCGACCATCTGGCCAACTTTGTTGAATTTAGTTTCCTATGTGTCTCTACATTTCCATTTGTTAGACTTGATCACTATTTCTGGTGATGACATCTTTGAAGACAGAAACTTCTTCATCTCTATTTCCAAGGCATGATTAGCCTGTGTTGAGTGGACCAGGGAATGGAGAGCAACTGAACTTGTTTCATACAGATAAGCTTACACAGAGATATAAAAATTAATCCACATAGTCTTCCTCTAGAAGTTAGGAAGAACAGCTCCGTATCTGATGCTAACAAAGGAGAAAAAGGTGATGAACTTCCATTATTTATTGTTTATTACATAGGCCTACACTTAGCGCATGCTTGTGACTGAAATGGAGAAAAAAAATATTAGTTACACTCACAGCTATTACTTTAGGAGAGTATAAGCAACTTACAATCTGTCTCTATCAAATTACCAGGAAATACCTAATAAAAATTATATCATTTGTGTGAAATTTTGATATCAATAATTTAATTTTTAAATTGACCTTAATCAATGCTTTTATGTATGTGTGTTTTAATGGTTTTTCTACACTGAAGACCTTTGGTTCATATTACCTTCCCCCATCTCCACGTTTGAAGTTCTATACAATACAGGGATAGATAGCATGCCAACAGGAGCATATGTGCTGCTAAATCCAACATATGGGGAGAGGTGAAAGAGGAACTTTTTTAAATGATCAATTTATCATTTTTAGAAAATTTCAAGATGAGTCCTGGCACCTTGTTTTCAACACATATAAAAAGCAAGACTGCAAAGCTCTATGTGAAAGTGCTAAGGGGGGGGGGGGTCAAAGAAAGATGGACTGTGTGGGGTAGGGGCTGTCAAACTATAACGTCTTGATCAGGATAGTGCAGATTAGGGGAAACGTGGGACAGTGGACTAGGAGGCAGTAGTACTAGGTGGGGAGGCTTAATTCTGACCATGATGAAGTCATCCCTACAAGTTCTCCTTCCTTGTATGGATCACACACCACTGCGTTAATCCAGCTAGGCCTTTTGACAAATTCCCAGCCCAGCTCTGGTCA